ATAGAAAAATAATCATTAGCGGCACCTCTAGTGTCCTCGTAACATCTCTGATCCAAGTATCTGAGCTACGACACTTTTCAAGTCATTTGAACTGGATGGTTGCTTATCTTAGAATATGGGCAGTAAACTCCAGGAACTTTAAAAAAAAAATCAGAAAGAAACACTTGATTAATGAAACTTGCTGAACACAAACGAACCCGGACGTGAGCGTAGCTACGCGTTACGTCCTGTATAGCTGTGATGATAAATATACAAACATGGAGGAAAGAAAAGCCTTTAGGTCTCCCCTCCCTCTTCCTCATTTCACACACACATGCACACTCGCTCCCACACACAGACCCACTCAAACCTCACTCGGCCCTCTTTAATTGGACACTTGAGCAGCGCACGACTGCATCTGGCTCCTGTTGAACACAGCCTGACATTTCAGACTGCTGACCTTTCCAGCCCCACCACAACTAAATAATGATTAGTCCTGGCAACTGTTCCACCACAGCAGCAGCAGCAGCAGCAGCCAGGTACACACACACACACACACACACACACACACACACACAGGTGCAAACTACACAACACAGAACAACAAAAACTCCTGCATTGAAGGCTTTGTCTTTTCACAGTGAGAAAATGGGGTGCAGACATTGATTTGAGAGGCCATTGTCATTCTTTTGGCTTATCGATTAGATTGTCCTTTTCCATATCTGCAGTCAGCGCCCAATAATGTGTTGTTCTAAATTAACTCTGCTTGCCTCTGTTTAGTTTCTCCTTTGCCTTTATGCGCTCTCAGCATTACAGTGGAAAAAAGGTCAATCATATTCATGAGATCTGGGCAGATTTGAGAGGACGGTTGTGTCTGAGTGTGTGTTTTTGTGTGTGTGTGGGGCGCGTGTGCACACTTTTTTGTGTGTGTGTGTGTGTGTGTCTAAAGCAATGAAGCGGCGTGGAGATAATAGGCAGTTCTCAGATCTCTCCTCTGACTTTCTTCTTCTTCACTCTATCACTTCTCTCTTTGTATCTCCATTTCCCTGCTGTTTCTGTCAGAGCCGAATAGAAATGTTCTTCATTAGAGCCTGTCTTTTTTACAGCGGTTCTTTGTGTTACTTCCTCCAGACAGAACCGCTGTACATATGGACGAGGTCAGAGGTCGCCTTTCTGCTCAGCCCGCGCTCAGAAGCCGAATCTTTCATTACACATATTAGCAGTGTGAGAAATTTAACCTGTGAAAGGCGCCGGTGTGCTTACAGTACGCACAAACACGGGAGCCCACCGCCGGAGCCGTAATTATTTTAGCTGTATTGTTTCCATGGTAACAGCCAGGTCAGGGAATATTTCACAACACGAATCACACATATTCAATTTTAGAAAAGGGTCGCATCTTTGTGGTTTTTTAAGTGTGTACTGGAGTATTTTAATTACACGGTTCAGCCGCAGACACGAGCCTTCATCCAATTACATCACCGGCAAGTCGACAAAAACGCAAGAAAACTTCTGCTTCTTGATTCAAACGAATGTCGTTTTGAACCGGACTCGTCCTGCAAAACGCTTAAAACAAGCGACTGCGATGAGTAAAAGTGTAACCTGGAAGTTTAGGCCGGCCAGCGCAATTAGGTTTGTTATAAAAGTGGCACTTATAGTTGCTGCAATTGCCGGAAGGAGCAACAGCTAATAAAACGAAACACGCCATTAGGAAAATAAGAAGCTGTGGAAATGAGTTTGGTTGTCGATAGCCAGTTATTACAGCGAGCTCAGCCAGCAGCTACAAGTTTGTACCAAACTTATTATGGTCAAAGCAAGACAAGCGCTGAATCTCATAAACCCAACTTTGTAGGAGGCAAGTTTTTTTCTTATACATGCATTTTACAATTCCCTTTTTTTAGTGTGTTTATGTGCTGATATAATTAAATTTTAAACTCCCGCGAGGCCCTTTTCTCTCTGCCGGGACGCGCCGGCATTTACAGTGTGTCCACATTTGCATAACACATGTCGGAAAATGCCAGAATAAGTTGGGAGATTACTTCAAACTTAAATTGTCTGCAGTGTAAACGCGGGGTCGGCACAGTCTTCCCACAATCCGCCAACCTGGCCTCCCCTCAGTCGCTTAACAGCATCCATTCCTTCAGATAGAAGTCTCCGGGCAGCCAGCCAAACAATATAGTGATATTTCATGCATTTGTGTCTCTGTTGCAGCGCCGCTATTGTTTTGAATGTGATGTATTTTTCTCGGTCCCGTTGCAAATTGCATTCGTGGAGTTCTGTCAGCTGCAGGAAGACTCTCTCCCATCCTTTAAAAAAAAAAACCTGCGAATCGCTTGCTCCAAAAAAAAAAAACCCACAGAAAGATGATTTAAACTCTTTGTGTCGCCACCGTTTCTGTTTGGCTTTGATGAGAAAGATGTTTGCGTCAGAACGTTAATCTTTTCTCTCTTTATTCTGGCAGATAAATGAAAGTTAACCCCTCTTTGTAGACGTCGTCGGTTGATCTCTATCTGTCGGGCGGCTCCCCCTTTGAGTCAGGCTGAAACATTTATTCATTAAGCGCTCATTTGTTTCTCGTTTGTAGCCATCCCTCCGTTTGCACGCGTTTCAGAGTTAAGAAATGAAGATCCAGCAAAGCGGCCGGGGTTTTGCGTGCAGCACCTTTTAGCCGCCGTGTTGCTCTGAAATGTTAATTAAGGAAAAGGTGTTCAAACTCCCTTTTTTTTCACCAAATTGATTCCACTGCAGCAGAAACCATGACTTTTTTTTAACAGACTTTAATGCTTTTGAGCTTCTTTGCCACCCAAACACCTGAACGCCTTTCTTTGGCAGCAGGATGGCGAAGTAAAGACTGGACCCAGTTTAAATGGAGTTTGCACGCCGAGGAAAGTTGCGGGCAACGGCGTTCGACCCGGGAAGGTGGGAAGTCGACTCCGTTGGCGACCTCCTGTCCCGGCGTACGTACCTGAGCTGATAGAAATCTGTGAGCGGCTCGACGGCTGCAGGGTCGACCGGCTCGCAGGGTGTCGAGCTGCAGAGATTTGTTTTGGTGGAACACAGCATTTTTTCACACCTTGAGAGAAGGAAGGAGGGAAAGAAGAAAAAAACACAGATTATTTATATATATACAAGAAAAAAAAAACCTACTATCAGGCTTTTGTGTAAATGAGCAGCTGTGAAAACAACACTTCCTATTACTGCCCTAATTATACCCTTTCTCTGTGAATTTGCATATTTTATCTCCCTCCTCTTCATTATGGGGGGACTATGCTTCCATTTTGATGTGGTTTAAAAAAAAAAAAAAAGCAAAAGAAAAACGCAGACACACACATAAAACAAACAAAGAAGGAGATGAAGGATGGGTGGGAGGAGAGGAGAGGAGCGCGCCGGCCGCCTCATATTGAGTATTTTCCAGTTGATTTTGTTGAAGGCTTCTCAGCAGCGTAGCTAAATAAGCAGCAGCATGCTAATGAATGGAGAACGAGTGTGATAATTTACCAGACAAAGAGTGGAGGGCTGCGAGAGATAGGAGCCAGAGGGAAGGGGGAGGCGGGGGAGAGTCGGTCGGTCGGGGGCAGCACAATATTGAAAATATTTTCAAAATGTTTGTCATCAAACAATTATTTAACACCTGTCTGCAGCCTATACGCCTGAAGCTTCTCCTCTTTTTTTTGTCGAGCCTATATTAATAATGCTTAGAGTAAATATTCCCTGTGTCGCAAATACGGTAATTTCACGCACTGTACACACAGGCAGCCATGTGTTTCATGTTCTCACATCCACAAAAGAGGGGAGAGAGAGAGAATGCTAAACTCAGAGGACACTAAAGTGACAACAGAGAGACTCTGTCTGTCCTCTTTCTAAAAGGACGATGTGACGAAGACAGTAAACAGTCTGTGAACAGGCTGTGGGCTCTGAGATTATTTCTTTGTCACCAGCAGAGCCACCAGTGTTGCTGAGCACTGCTGTGGAGCAAATCCTCCTAGAGAGGACTGATTGGATTTTTGTTCCAGAGAGCCTTTTGTGTTAGCAGCATAGGGACTAGATAATAGAGGCCGATGCCACTCTGTCTCTGTGTTATGGCTGGTGGATTGAGTTTTTGGACTGTGTGTGTGTGTTTGTGTGTGTGTGCGGCGGCGGCAGGATATTGTCTCTACAAACAACCGCTATATCACTATTTGCAGCCGCTTTTAGCTTCAGAGCCTTTAGGAGGGTAATTATCAGAACATCTGGGCACCTTTTACTAATATATGGCTTTATCATTAAGCCAAGATGAATTGTTAATATACGAACCTGTCACTCTGCTAAGTTGATTAAATGAGAATATTCAGCGCTCCAAACTGCCGAGCAGGTAGACCCACGTTACCATGAGACACCTTGACCTTGGTCAAGGTCATTAGCAGCCGTTTCTCAGCCTGCGCCTCGGTCTCTCCGTCAGATCCGTGTGGGCCCAGTGGGTGTGTATGTAGAGTACTGTATGTATAAATAAAATAATATATACATTATTGATTTCTGCAGGGGAAAATCCTACTTTTAATTGCCCTGCTTCCACAGTGCGGGTCAGGAACCGGGTTCATCTACAGAGCAGCAGCTCCAGAAAACTCTGAGCAGACTCTGAATTCCTTTTCAATCCAGGAAATTCTTCAGCTCATTATGTCTTCCTGCTGTCCTGTGTGTGACTTTGTACTGACCTCTATTGGAGACGGTGGAATGATACAGATGGGTCCTTACAGGCCAATCACAGACCGCCACAGAGATGTTTACTGAAGTCTAAAGTGATTCTTTTGTGGCTTTTCCGGACTCTTTAAACTCTGCTGTTGCTGCCTCTGTGGCTGCAGCTCAGGACTGTTGTCAGCCTGCGTCAGATCGGTGCTGACTGGTCCATAGGACTAAATGTGTCTCAGCAGCAGCCAGGGACACATTCGTCACATCAGCTGGCGTCCTGCGGTTGGACAGCAGAGGAGATGCATGACATGTGACGTAGGTGTTCACAGTCAGAGCAGGAATCCCAGGAAGTGTTTGTCTGTCCTGGCTGCAGAAAACAGTGTGAGATGTTCTGGTTGTGTTTCTAGTCCGTCCCATGTGAAGCATCACTCGACGGATATTTGGCTTCAGTTTGGTCAGAAGTCAGGATGACAAACAAATACTGTGTTTTCTCTCAGATTTAAAGGTTTATGTCATTTGCATGCTGCACATACAGTTCAGTTCTGCTATAGAGAGCAGATTTGTATATAACTGAAGACATTAAATACACTGTAGAAGAAAAAAACAAGTTAAAATCTGGTCGCAAGGCGGCCAGAAAAATATATCACAAAATTGTAAAAAAAAAAAAAAAACAACAACATTGGAAATAACAGTAATATCTGTAAAATAATGATATTTTTTTAGCAGACTTACGTACAATCAAAATCATGTAATTTAACAATCAATTATAAAATAATTAATTACTATGCGTAAAATTACAAGAGGCTGAAGGTTGAGACATTTATTTGCCATTTTTAAATCCCAAATAATATCAAACACCTGTAGAATAATGACATTTTTTGCTGATTTAAATGCAGTGAAACTTTTTTTTTAAGGCGTGATTTCAGGGTCGAAATTTCAAACTATTTAAAAAAATAAAGGGTTAGTTTAAATTTTTTTTTTTTTAAATTTTTCAAACTTTAATATGCACTGTTTTTCTTTTGATTAGCACCAAATATCCATAAAATAATGTTGTTTTTTTTGCTGATTTAAAGACGGTCAGAAATAGTATATTTATGGTCAAACATCGTCAAAAATAAAAAATAGAATTTGAAAAGAAAAATAATGATTTTGGGCTATTTTTCAACAGTTAACATGTAAATTACTACTTTTTTCTAACGTGGTTTTACTAGTTATTATCTGTAATTTAACAAAACAGGGAAAATGTGTCCAATAAACTGTAAATTATTGTAAAAGGGGAAAAGCTTTGACATAAACAGACGTCACTGGAACTTATTGACTCAACTGGACTTTTCATAAAAGTAATAAAGGAGCAGAAACTAACAGCAGAAGGAATTTGAATAATAATTCAGCTTCTGACTTGAGATGTGCTTTCCCAGACTCGGCGGCCGCGCCGACACTCGGCATTAACCTCAGAATCAATCCTAACCTCCTCCGTTTGTGCAGGAAGCTGTGGAGGGATTTGAGCTGCGTGACTTTCGCCGTCTTTGACCGCTGTGCGAGCGGGTTCGGGTCTGTGTCTGGCTGGTCGGTGCTTAAATAAAAGGCCGGTAGTTGTCAAAGCACTTTGCCCTTCAACACGAGCCCCTTCATCCGATCCCCCCACCACCACCCCATCCACACGGGTCCCCCCGGCGAGCAGCGAGCCGCCGGTTGCTTCGGGTTTTATCTGCTATTATCTGTCAGATGCTGCACACCTGCGAGCCGGGCCGCCCCTCCGCACGACGGCCGGCCGGCTCCGGTCGCTCGTCCAATCCCAGCGGCTCGTCGCTGTCAGCGCTGAGAAGTTCTCTGGCTGCCTCCGTCTCTGTCTGACAGCCGCCCTGGAGGAAAGGCTAAGAGAAGGGAAGAGAAGGGAGAAAGAAGGGGGGGAAAATACCATTAAGATGAGCTGTATTCCCACAGACCAAAGCCTGCCCACCAGCCATGTGCTGCGGCTCACCTGGCTGCCAGATAAGTGGAGATTAGAGGAGAGGAGACGGGTGGAAAAGGTATTAAAGGTATAAGAAAAATTCTCTGTGAAACCCGGGGACAGCCTTGATACTTTTAGGATTTCTTGTGTCGTGTCTGACATTTGATGCCGACGCAGAAAAAGGGCAGCGAGACAGCCAGACGGTCCACGCCGCCTTCACACCCGTCTGCAGCTTTTGGCTTGTTTGTTCCTCGCTGTGTTTTTATTTTTTTTGTTCAACTTGCAAAAAAAAAATAAAATTACAGTTTTGGGAGTTTCCTTCTAGTTAGCAGAGAATAAGCGTCTGGTGAGATCAATACGGGTCCGCAGCAGGAGGCAGAGCGGCCCTAATGAACTGAATTGACTGGTGCTGAAATATGATCAGTATTTCTCTGGTGGTCATTATGTTCCTTATGAAGAAGATCAATGTCTCCTGGGTGGATCAGTGAGCGTACGCAGCGTGGTGGCCGGGCCAGCACTGATACCGTTCTAAATACTTAATGAAGGATTTATCCCCAATAAGATTTGCCACAGTGTGTGTGTGTGTGTGTGTGTGTGTGTGCCTCTTCCTTCCTTCCTTTGTTTCTTCTGTCTGTCTCTCTGTTTCAGTCAAAGGTCTGTTTTGGGGCCGGCAGCATCAGTAACTGATGTGCTTGTATGAGGCTGTGCTGTTCATTTCATGGGCTATCACTTTTTAAATTGGTGAATGCCTTCTTCATGCTTGATTAGTAATTCATGCAGAGCTAATTAAGAGGCATAATAAGAGAAAGTCTGGTGAGATGCCTCCAACCAAAATAGGAAAACGCTTCTTACCCCGGACAGTAAACACTTGTGATTGATTGCAGCGGCGGCGCCATAAAAGATGTTTGTTTTTTTGTGTGTGTTTTTTTTTTTCCTCTGAATCTCAGAACCAGACACCCGTATCTTCATTTTGCTCTTTGCGTCCCTGATTTCCGAGCATCTGTCCAGGAAAGTCGCCCTAATGGTCCTCGCTGTCCAACGCCGTCACTTTTCTGCGTCTGCCAACCGTCATCACCAGCACACCTGCACCAGCATCTGTCCGTCCCGCAGACCGGCGCAGGTGCTGCTTCCTGCAAAGGAAACGTCCATGTTTATTCGTCAGATGAACCCCACATCCTCGGCTCTTTGTCCGATCAGAGGGGGCCTGTTAACCGTCCATCCATCTGTCCGTTTGTCTGTGGGAACTCTTTATGATTCCAGTGGCGGCGCGGCGATGATGACGTGTGTAACTGCAGTCTAATTCCATCATCAGCATCATTACTGCTATTATCCCGTGTCTCCCTTTAATGCAGGCTAATGGATGACCAATAAAGATAGATGAGCCTGGCAGTGTGGAGCTAATAGGCAGGACATGATGTCTGGCTTCTGTCCTGACTCGGAGTCTTTTAGCAGATCAACTTGCCCCCCGTCCCCCCTCCATCGCTACACACAGATAAAACACAGCAAAAATAATATGTGGGGTTGTGCTGCTCGGCTGTAGCGTCGGCTAATTAGCGCGCCAATAGTTTAGGCCAAAATCAAAGCTGTGTGCTTGACTAATTATTGAAAAAAAGAAAAAAAGAGAGCAGTTTGGATTTATTAAACAAATAGCAGCTGTGAATTAAATTCTCATAATGGTGAAAAATCAACACACAACAATGGGCGCGCAGCGTCGAACTGATATTTTTTCATTTATTAGCATTTCGGGTGTGGAAAGGTCATTTGAGACTTAATGAAAGTGGCGCCATCCCCTCTTTAATTACCGCCGTATATTCTTATATTTTTCTGTGTGTGTGTAATTATAAACGCTAAGGTTTGTTCACTTTTGATAAATATCCCGTCCCCGCTCTCCGTCCTTTGTTGTGATAATTTAAACACATTATCTTGTCCTCCGATTCTCTCGCAGCAATGAATCAGAAGCAGAATATTTCATAAGTTTACAATAATCTCTGCTTTTTGCCTTACTGCTGCAGAATCAAACAGACATTACAGATAACAGCGTTCTCATATTACCAACATCTGACAACCTCCAAACAACAACAACAGCAATAATCAATCAGCAGGTTTGGTTGGAAGGAAACACAACACACAGCAGAAATACAGAGTCAGAACTTTACAGCTTTCTGCTCTGTAGCAATTTCACCGCCGTAATTGAGTCTCTTCCTTAAAGACCAAACGTTTTCTGCTGCCACCGCGGCCAAACATTCGTCTGTGAGTTTAGAGAGGGAAGGTGACGGCGGCGTTCCTCGTCAGGTCTAAACATGCAGGATGCTGAGGAATGAAACCGAAGTGGAAAACTTAAGAGCATCAAACGCCGATAACGCCCGAGCATCTGCAAATCAGTTTCATTTGAGTGGCGGTAGCTGCAAAACCAAACTTCACAAACGCCAAACAGGTGCAATAGAATAAAACATGTCTGCCTTGTTTCAGCACTAAGCAGGTTGTGAGTAGGTGAGGTTTGTACAACCAACCAGCTCCTATGATGGATCGCACAAACCAAACAATCTCAGAGCTGCAAAAATTAAAACAAATGTACAATTATAAAAAAACAGATTTCTGAACATCCCAGAAAATAATCACAAACTGTTGCCTCTCTGCCTCCCATTTGTCAAATGTTGTCAATAAGGAGGTTTTTTTCTTTTTAAACTGGAGTTTACTGGCAGAACATTAATTTTAAAAAGTAGGGAAAGCACAGGTGTTGCTAATATTATTAATTCAGTAAAGCGTGACGGCGAGCCAGCGTGCACAGCGGGGGGGATGGGAGAGAAAAAGCACAGGTGTAATCAATGAAGTTAATGACGGCTGCGTTCCATTTAGCTGAGGCAGTTTCAGGGTTTGTTATTGAACACATTAATGTCAGCAGCTCCACAGAGGAGGCTCCTGCTATGACAAGTGTGTTACAATATATATAAGTGTACAGTTTTCAGATTCAGCTTTATCAGCCAAACACGTGCACGTACAAGGAATTTAACTCGTCTTTGCTCTTAAATAACTTTCACGAGAACACAACCAACAGGTTAAAGAAACGGACTTTAACTGCTACCTGCAGCTTTAGATACGCGTACGAGAGCCTGTTTAGAAGAAACCAAAGTCCAGCGTGGACTCCAATGACAGCTATAAATACAGTTATTCAGAATAAATACGGGGTTATTGACGCTTTATATACATGCAGCAGGTGGACGACGATGCTGCAATGAAACAGGACCAGAGACGTGGTAGAGTATAAACACTGGGTCATGAGGAGTTGTTTGTGTCGTTATCGGCTGATTTCAGTGTTCATTAGAGAGACAGTCTGGTTGTTTTGGCGTTCAGAGCTCCACCTGACGGAGGAGGAGGAGCTGGTACTGACTATCTCCTGGGTGTGATGGGTGTTCTAACTCCGGACATGTGTAAGTCCTGGATGG